ACGTATTTCCTGATGAGATACCAGAATTTCCACCGGAGAGAGAGATTGAGTTCTCAATTGATTTGTTGCCTGGTGTGAGGCCTATCTCTTTGGCTCCATACCAAATGTCGCCACTTGAATTGGCTGAGTTGAGGGAGCATATTTAGGAGCTATTTGCAAAGAATTTTATCAGACCGAGTGTGTCTCCATGGGAAGCACCGGTAATATTTGTGAAAAAGAAGGATGGTAGCATGAGATTGTGTATTGGCTACCGGCAGTTGAATAAGGCTACGATTAAGAACGAGTACCATTTGCCTCGTATTGATGATCTTCTAAACCAGTTGAGGGGTGCTTGTGTGTTTTCTAAGATTGATCTCCGGTCCAGATACCACCAGATCCGGATTAAGCTGGAGGATGTGCCTAAAATGGCGTTCCGATCCAGATACAAACATTTTGAATATCAGGTGATTCCTTTTGGGCTTACTAATGCCCCGACGGTGTTCATGAACTATATGAATCGTATTTTTAAACCCTACCAAGACCAGTTTGTTATTGTGTTCATTGATGATATTTTAATCTATTCCAAGAGTAAAGAGGAGCATATGGATCATCTGAGGACTGTATTGCAGATGTTGAAAGATAAAAAGTTATATGCTAAGCCGTCTAAATGTGAATTCTGGCTATCTAAAGTGCAATTTCTGGGTCATGTGATTTCTGCTAATGATGTTGCTGTGGATCTAAGTAGGATTGAAGCGGTAAGTGACTGGGAACGACCTAAGACTGTGACTGAGATCAGGAGCTTTCTGGGTCTTGCTGGTTATTATCGCAAGTTTATAGAGGGGTTTTCTGCTATGGTACTTCCGTTGACCCGATTGACACGAAATGATACTTCTTTTGTGTGGACCCACGAATGTGAGGAGTGATTTTTGACTCTTAAAGAGAAATTGACTACTGCTCCTGTGTTGACTCTTCTCAATTCGAAAGGTGAGTTTGAACTATACTGTGATGCTTCCAAGAAAGGTTTGGGGAGTGTTTTGATGCAAGAAAGGAGAGTGGTTGCTTATTCTTCTAGGCAGTTGAATCCTCACGAGGAAAATTATTCGACACATGACTTAGAGCTTGCTGCTATTGTATTTGCCTTGAAAATCTGGAGGCATTTTCTATATGAGATGAAGTTTGTTGTTTTCAGTAATCACAAGAGCTTAAAATATTTGTTTGATCAGAAAGAGCTGAACATGAGACAACGGAGGTGGGTTGAATTCCTAAAAGATTATGACTTTGAACTGAAATACCATTCAGGTAAAGCTAATGTGGTGGCAGATGCCTTGAGTAGGAAGTCTGTAAATTTATCTCATATGATGTGGGATAATGAAGTGATTGAGCAGTTCTGGGATTTGAAAATAATGGATTTCTTTGCAGGTAGAATTTGTGATATTGAGTTGACAAAAATTGAGAATGAGTTGCTTGAGAAGATTAAAGAAACTCAAATACAAAATGATAGTGTGAAATATTTGAAAGGTCAAAGTGGCGTATCTGTGAATGAACAGGGGTTATTACTGTATCAGGGCAGGATTATTGTGCCCAAGGAACTAGCAGAGGAAGTTATGGTTGAGGCCCATAAGGGTCAGTATGCTATTCATCCAAGTGCTACAAAAATGTATCAAGATCTAAAAGTTAAGTTCTGGTGGCCTGGGATGAAAAAAGATGTTGCGGAGTATGTATCAAAGTGTTTTGTTTATCAGAAAGTTAAAATAGAGCATCAGAAACCTGCTAGTTTACTTCAGCCATTGGATATACCAGAATGGAAATGAGAGAGCATCTCTATGAATTTTGTTGTTGGGTTGCCTCGGACTCAGGCTGGATACAATTCTATTTGGGATATAGTGGATAGACTTACGAAGTCTGCACATTTTCTGCCAGTGCGAGTGGATTTCTCTACAGAGAGATTAGTAAAACTTTATGTGAATGAGATATTAAGGCTCCACGGGATTCCAGTTAGTATTGTCAGTGATCGGGAACCGAAGTTTACTTCACACTTTTGGAGAGCTTTGCAGCAAGCTTTTGGCACTCAGCTCAGGCTGAGCACTGCATATCACTCGCAGACTAATGGTTAGACTGAGAGGACCATATAGACACTTGAGGATATGCTGAGAGCTTGCACACTAGAGCAGGGTACTGCTTGGGACAGATACTTGTCACTGGTGAAATTTTCTCATAATAACAGTTTTCATTCCAGTCTCGGAATGGCACCATATGAGGCATTGTATGGATGGAGATGTCAAACTCCTACTTGCTGGACTGAGGTGGGTGACAAAGAAAGATTTGGTCCGAATTTTGTGCAGGAGACTACAGTGCAGATTGAGATGATCAGGGAGAAACTTAAACAGGCATAGAATCGGCAGAAAAGTTATTATGACAATAAACATAGACCACTTGAATTTGAAGAAGCTGACCATGTATTTGTGCGGTTATCTCCGGTCACGGGTGTTGGTCGTGCATTGGTAGTAAGGAAGCCGAGTCCTCGATTTATTGGGCTGTATCAGATTATGAAAAGAGTGGGATTAGTGGCATATCAGCTTGTCTTACCTCCACAGTTGTCGAATCTACATGACGTTTTCCATGTATCACAGCTGCGACATTATGTTTCGGATGAATCACATGTGGTGATACCAGATGATATTGAAATTCGGGAGAACCTGAAGGCTCCTATAGGTCCCATTGAGGTACTTGACCGCAGTGAGAAGAGGATGAGAAGCAAAATAATTCTATAGTTAAAGATTTAGTGGGAAGGACGCACACCTAAGGAGGCTACTTGGGAGCGAGAGGATGAGATTCTTCGGTTGTATCCTGAGTTAGCGGACATGTATGATTCAATTTTGCGGATAAAATTTCAAAAAGGAGGAGTGAATATAAAACCTCATAATTCTAAATCATATAATTATATTATAAATATGGATTAAAGGGTAGGATTAGTGAAAATCCTGAATTCGAAGTCAAAATACATAAAAAGGATAAAACGGTAATTTGCCAAACATGTAACCCTAAGAAAGGAAAATTGAGTAGAAGGTCTCAAATGGGAAAACGAACCCTGGAAATGGATTCAGAACTAAAAATTGAGTGGTTAGGCCAGTTCTGGAAATTTGATGAATAGTGTTTTTACAGGGTAAAAATACAGCGGTACATTTGCATCGAAAAGCGTGTCAAATGAATTTTGAGTTGTAGGCTTGGGACTAAGTTATAATTGATACATAGGACTAAGAATTATGATTCCTGATGAAAATTGATTGAAATTAGGGTTTTGGGGAAGCGTGCCCACAATAAACATAAAAACTTAAAACTGTGATTTCACCGAACGACCGAAAAACTCCGGATTCATCTGACCAAGGACAATAAAAGGACATCTGTGAATAGTAAAAATTGAATTTTCTAAATAGTCTAGGAATTATTGGACGTTTATTGGTTTAAGCGGGAGTTTTAAATTAATTTGAATCGCGTGAGCCCCACTTAAGTATAACTTGACACATGTGCACAAGGCATTATTCATGTTCTTCCTCACCTCTCCCTCTCTCTAAACCTGCGGCCCCCTTGGTGTTTATGCAAGTTTTGTTTCAAAATTTCATCTTCTCCAAACTCCATCAAAATCAACCAAACACAATTTCCACTGCATCAAACTTTAAGTAAACAACCTTCTAAACACAACCATGGTATTTCCAAGGCATGAAACTCGCTAGATTGGGAGAAAAAGGGGACCCATGGCTGCAGTTTTGGTGAAAGATTTTGATGTTCTTGGAGTTGTTTGATCCTCCATTGCTTGGGTATTGTGTGGAGGAGTCCTAGGCCTTGATTGTGGGTAAGTTTCAACATATTTCATTGGTTGAAATTTTGGATTTGATTCATGAACCCTAGAGCTTGTTGTATGGATTGATATGGTTAGGGACCTCAAATTGAAAATGTGTATTAGATAAAAGTGTCTTAGAATGATGTTTTATGGTGATTGAACTCATAAAAATTATTGATGAAATGTTTGGTAACTTAGGCAAAATTTATGATGGAAATTCAAGACTTTGTAAAATGGAATGGTTGTAGGATTGCGTAATTGAGTTGTGGAGTAATTGTATGAGTTAATTATAGGTTTGTATGATGTATGAAAGTGTGAAATTGGATTGAATACCCCTATGTATACATGTATGAAGAATTTGGCCATGCAGGGAAAATAAGGAAAAAATGATGTAAAAATCATGTGATTGATGTTGTGTGTGGTTGTGAATTGTGTTTAAATAGGTTGTATGTTGGTTTGATGCATGTGAATTGGAAGTGGAACCATTGGATATGTCTAAGTGTAAAAATTGGCCTAAAGGAAGATGATTGAAAAAAATGATGTTGAATGATAATGGAGTGAACTTAAGGAATTGGTTTGGTGTTGTGGTAAGCTTATAACATCCTTTTTAAGTTTGATTATATGTAATTTTGCGTGCCTTAGCATTAGTTATAATAAATGAATATTTTATTTATAACTATTTGGAAAGAAAAAAAATTGACATACACTTTCTTAGGACAATTAGTTACTCTTATAATATTTTTTATTTTTTTTTGGAAATTACATTACTCTTATAATATTAATCATATTCAATCTTTCTTGCTTTTTTACAAGATACGCTTAATTATTTAATTTAAAATAAGAAAGAATATATAAAAAAACAAGATATGTAAGTAAATTTCTTGATTAGATCGCAGCATGTTAGAATGATCGCATCAGAGAGAATTGTAGTTACAATCTATATACTGCCTTTGACTTGGGAGCTAATTGGCCATCCACGATGGAGTACCAACTCAAGTCCCAATACAAGCATAAATTTAGATAGTTCAATGAGGTATAAGGAGAAGTACACCCCATGCATAGAGGGTGTACTTTTAAAAGAAAACATCTAAATTCAACGAGAAATGAAGAAAATATTACCCAAGTGATATAAAGAGATATATGTCATCTTAACTATATTTTTCCTTTTGAATATCTGGAAAAGAACGAAATGAACGTATTTCAAATAGATAAATAGACTACAAATATTACTCAGGCTCCAAAGAAAATGTTCTCAAGTTCAATCATCCTACTTTTGGCTAGTCCAAAATATAACCATTTTTCATAGAGAAGAATATATAGGCACACCTGCTATGGTGGTACCAGCGTCCACAATAAAATTGTTGCCCGACACATATTCAGAAGAATCATGAATTAAGTAACGAGCAATTGATGTCAATGCTGGATCAGAAGTGCCAAAACTTCTCAAGGGTACTGTTTTCAAGGCCACATTATTCAGCCAATCTTTCTCCATTAATTTCTCAGTGATTTCAGATTTGAAAAGACCAGGTGATATGGAATTGACTCTGATTTTGTGTGCCCCCAATTCCAATGCCATGACCTATCAAATATCATTTCAGAAAGTCACAAACTAAATGATAACAGTATGCCTTTGTTTGAATTAATGATAACAAAATCAGAAACTCTTGACAGACATAATTGTGTGAATATCAAAGGAGCATATAAAATTAGAGCACAAAGCCACAAGCCAAACCAGATTAAGAAAATTATTCCTCCCTTATCTGTTTTCTGCTTCCTACTTATCACCTTTAATACATACGGATAATCCTTTTGTACAGGTAGGTGAAAAGCCAATTAAAAATTAGCGAGTTTACTAATGCAAGTTCTCATATTAATGGTTCTACATGTGAGCTTCTTTTTATTTTTTTGTATTTTTATCTCAAAAGTAGCATGTGAACTTGTAAAGACTAATCAATGTAATTACTGACAGAAGACCAAAACAATTTATTCACATGCAGTGGATTTGCTCCATCTCAAGGCTCCTCCAAGGAAAATTTAGCAGAAAAAGACTACAAATAGGATTAAAAAAAACAAGGCAAACCCAACTGCACAAAAGCTCTCTGGCTCTGCTAGAAGTGAGACTTTCTCGTCACAAAAAAACAACCTTACTACAGCTTGAAGGCTTGCCTTGCCATCATAATAAAACTACAAATAGGATAAGAAATATATTTTTCCCTACTGTTTACATCAACCCTTATGATAAGCACAGATAAAACTCTTTAACTGAATATTCCAACACAACAAAAACAAAGTGTGCTTCTTAATTTGATGTATTTCTTCTATTGCTATAAAGTCAGCCACGTTATTAAAAAATCCAAAGGAAAAGATATATATATATATATATATATATATATATATATAAACATAAAATTCAAAATACGTTGACTGGTTTTTAAAGTTGATTACTTTGATTTAAAATAAATCGCAAGTCAAATCATCATTACCTTAGTCAGCACATTGACGCCTGCCTTTGACGATGAATAGGCAGCACCTCCAGGCAATTGCCCCCTATTTATACCAGCAATTGAAGCAATATTGATAATTGATCCTTTCCTCTGTGCATCACGCATGTGTTTGCATACATACTTTGACACCAACCAGGTACCAGTTAAGTTCGTTCTGAACACTTGATTCCATTCCTCCTCAGACAGTTCCAAGGGTGATTTCACAGTTCCTACTCAGCACAAGAATCAGGAAATATGAAACTTCATAGCAATCCATTATCAATTTCCCGTGATTCAAAACCAAGTCTTAAGAATTATATTATGACCTGAACAACCCCATAAAGTTAATGGACTCTTGTTGACTTGCTGCATCTATGATAATTCTACAAGAGGGAATTTCATGTGTCCAAAACAATTGTTAATTACTTTCTAAAATTAAAAAGTATCAGAAACAAATAATGCTCGTAATCCAGTGTTACGATCTACTTTCAAGGTATAGGACTTGAGTCTAACATTGGTTATATAGGTGATTAATGTGAAGTTTATATGAACATATCATCCAGTTTTGAATTTTTTTCTGCATAATATATTTTTTATTATTATGTAAAATTTTATGTTAGTCTTATTACATAATTTTATGTTAGTAAAGTTTCTCTTCAAGAACTACTATTTTTTTTTTTTTTTAAATTAAAGTTTATAGACTTTTAATTTTTAGGTGACAGGAAACTAAAAACTTAACAAAGATTTTACGGTGATACCGGGGGTGGGTGTTTGGTAGGGAGAAATTTTTGAGATTCCGGGGTAAATGATAACGGTAATCGTATTTTACCCACGTTTAATATAAGGTTTCTAAAACATGGTAATCTAATTTTTCCGGAATTTTGTTTTGTATATAATTTTTTTTCAAAATGTGATTCAAGAATAAGGGGTGGTATTCTTGGAATCCCAAGTGTTAGGAAAACTTTACACTTTTTTAGAACAAAATTTTGGTAATATTTTGCCTTCGAAACAGCTTTTTGTTAACATTTTCATAAAAGTGACTATTCCCCCATATTCTTAGGTATCATGATTTCTGGGCATAAATAAATTTATCGTCTGCAAAACTCCCCCTAAGTTCATAAATTATGAGTAGCACTCATCTTGCAACCAGATCGTCATGGGTTTTGAGTTTGCAAAAAAAGAAATACGACCATCACCAATATCCCAGCAAGTCAGGAACAGGTTTGCTATTTCCCCATTTTAAGATATTTTTTTTTGGTACATACATTTTAAGATATTTTAAATTCAAACTTAAGAGTTATGCAACAAATACTAACATAATAAATTTCCAAGTAAAATGCATAAAAGATGAAACCAAGCAAAAATTTAGTACTAGAACTCAGAACACATCAATTTCTCAAATTTCAAAGAACCCCAAAATGTTCATCCCAAAATTCAAATCTACAATTACCTCTAACACCAGCGTTGTTGATCAACGCATCAATATGGCCAAACGCGTCCCATGCCTTCTGCACGCACTTGTCGATGACCTCGCCATCGGCGGAAACGTCGAGTTCCACGGCCACCGCACGGAGGCTTCTGGCAGCACCACCGGCCTCCGGCGACGGCGTCAGCCGATTGATTTCATCGCAGAGGGACTTGAGCCGGTCGATCCTGCGGGCCGCCGCGACGACGAGGCAGCCGGCCCGGCCGAGGTCGAGGCAGAAGTCACGGCCGAGGCCGGCGGAAGCGCCGGTGACCATCACTACTTTTCCGGCGAGGCTGTGCCACGGCTCCAGGTGTTGGGAAACTTGTGCTGCCATTATTGATTCGGTGCTTGAATTGAATGTGTGAGGTAAAATGGGTTGTTATATAGGCCAATTTGGAAAGTGAAAGTAATGAGGTATCGTTATGAACATGGAAATTGAAAGGAAGTAGACATAAATCATAAATGACGACGCATTAACGTTGGAGAATCAAATCAAGTGGAGGTTGGTGACTAGGGTGTTTGATAGGGAGATTTCTTTACAAAGTGAAGGTGGGTTTTGAATTGATATTCTATTTTAGAAAATTTATCTGCAAAAGTAATTTGCTGATAATTCATTTTGTGTGTAATTTATGAATGAAAATTCTATTTGAATTGTTGAAAAATAAAAAAAATAGATATATTTTTCATATTTTTTTATATATCAAAAAATATTTTAATAATATTTTCGGAAAACTCATATTTTTTTTATATTGAAAGAAATTATAATTTTCGGATAAAAAAAATTTCTCCAAAATTTAAATATCTCTTAATTTTTCTCGAAAATAGGTCGGTGTGATTCGACACATATTACATTTTAAAAATTAGAACAATATAATAATGTAATAATTAAATAAAAAAACTTATATTAACAATTGAGAAAACAGCTAGATTTATTATTATATCACTGTTTAGATTAGTTTTTAAAATATACAATTATTACGTAAAAATTTTTAAATATGAATACGTTGGTCGAATTAATTTTAGTATTATTATTTTATAAACCGACTTAAACGATAAAATACGTGCTTTAAAAATTTATAAAATATATTATTTTTTGACAACTGATATAATCCAAGTAATATTTATTATTTATAAAATATTTATTAGGGTCTACACCTCGTAATCTGCATGTATCAAGGTTTTTTAATGAATAAATGATGGTTGAAAGTCAAACACTCCGTTGGTTGTTAACAACCACATTATTGTCCATGCGTTTACGAACGTGGCTGTTATGTTAGATTTTAATTAGGTAATAGGAGAATGATTAAATTACGGGTAATATTAAAAATAAATAGGACATATATGATGGTTCACCCAATTGGTCTACCGTCCCTACTGATGAAATTTCTCTCCCTCTCAATGATAATCAAGGAGAGGGATTCTCTTTAATATAAATAAGAGATGATACAATAATTGGATCAAATTATTTTACCCACAATTCAATACATCAAGTGATTTATTGCTCCTTTTATGAGCAACATTACAATCAATCAATTTTCTTAATTTGTCTCTACTGATATCTTCAACATTCCCCTTCAAGTTAAGGCGAAGATGTCAATCAAGCCCAACTTGGCAATGATATTTTGAAAAGAGTTTCTAGGAAGGACCTCAGTCAAGACATCTGCTAATTGATCTTCACTTCGAATATAAGGTGTCTCAATTATCTTTGCTTGAACCTTTTTCCGAATAAAATGACAGTCTACTTCAATATGTTTAATTTTCTCGTGAAACACTGGATTAGATGCAATATGAATAGCAGCTTGGTTGTTACAATACAACATAATAGGATTCTCCATTTGCTCCAAGGTAAGGTCAAAAATGAGGTCTTTAAGCCAAACGAGCTCACTGGTGGCTAACACCATAGCATGATATTAGGCTTCTGCACTATAACGTGCCACTACACTTTGCTTTTTACTTTTCCAAGTCATAAGGTTGCCTCCAACAAAGGTACAAAAACCATAGGTGGATCGTCTGTCATGTGGGCTACTTGCCCAATCAGCATCAGCATATCCAACAATGTCAGTGTGGACATTTCTCTTTAACCAAATGCCTTTTCTTGGACAAGACTTCAAATATCTAAGAATCTGATCTGCTAGATTCATGTGATCTTGTGTTGGTTGATGAAGGAATTGGCTAATGTAGTTTACCGAATAGGATATATCCGATCTGATAATGGTGAGGTAGATTAACTTACCAACAAGTCTCTGGAACTGTGTTGAGTCAGATAGAGGAGTAAAGTCTTTCTCAAACTTACAATTGTAATTCATAGGGTTATCAATTTGTTTGGATACTATTTTACCAGTCTCCTTTAGAAGATCTAATACATATTTCCTTTGTGAGATGAACAACCCTTTATTGGATTCGGCAATTTCAATTCCCAGGAAGTATTTTAGGTGACCCAAGTCCTTGATATCAAAGGTCATATTGAGATACTTCTTCAATTTATCTATCTCATTCATATTATTTCTAGAAATGACTATATCATCTACATAGATAAGGATTGCAATGATATTTCCATCACAGTGTCTTACAAATAAAGTATAATCTAACTTACTTCGAATAAACCCAAAGGTGGTGAGTGCCTTGCTCAACTTTTCGTACCAAGCATGGGGAGACTGCTTTAGACCGTAGATGGCACACTTTAGTTTATACGCTTCACCAAGTTGAGACTCAAGAGGGTGACTTGGAGGCAAGTCCATGTCAACTTCCTCTTCAAGATCTCCATGCAAAAAAGCATTTTTAACATCCATTTGGAAGAATGGTCATCAATGATTGATGGTAACAGACATAAGAACCCTTACCGTGTTCATTTTTGCTATTGGAGGAAAGGTAGCTATGTAATCTACACTATAGGTCTTAGTGTATCCTTTAGCAACAAGGCGAGCTTTATTTCACTCAATAAACCCATCACTTTGATATTTGATTTTATAAATCTACCTGCAACCTACAATGTTCTTGCCTTGAGGAAGAGATACAATTTCCCAAGTGTGATTTTTATCAAGAGCAAAAAGCTCATCGTTCATAGCTACTTGCCATTCTGAACTTAACTTTTCTTCTTCAAAGTTGGCCAGTTCATGATGCTTGTCAATGGTGGTTAGGAAGGTCCTATGTCCACTAGAGACATGATCAAGGCATGCATAGTCTTGAATTGGATAAGTGACAGCTGTAGAGATATAGTCATTTAATTTGGTTGATGGCTTGATTGTTTTGGTGGATTGGCCCACAGTCTTATCTGATATTACTGCTGGATTAGAGGTGGAGGTCTCAACCTTCTGATTCGGTATTGCTGGTGGAATAGAGGTGGAGATCTCTGCTTCAGGCACATCAAGAGGTGGTATTGTACTGGTTGTTTTAAATGGAATTGGCCTGAGAGAAAAATCCAGTTGTGTATCAATGTCAATCTCCCCCTTATTTTTATCCCTGGAAGAAAAATACATAGAACTCTCATCAAAATAAACATCTCGAGAAATATATAACTTTTGGGTACCAACATCATAACATTTGTAGTCCTTTTTTACTGTTGAGTTTCCCAGAAAAATACACTTGGTGGCATGGGGCTCTAGTTTGTTAGTGTTTTGTATATGAACATAGCAAATACATCCAAATACTCGTACATGAGATAGATCAATATCACGGCCATAGAGAACCGCCAAAGGTGATTTATAATGAAGTTATTTATTGGGTGTGCGGTTGATAAGGTAGTAACCGGTGAGTACTGCATATGACCAAAAATGAGAGGGGAGGTTGCCATGAAAGAGTAAGGAACGAGTGACCTCCAGTATGTGCTGATTTATTGCTCAGCAATGCCATTCAGCTGAGGGGTACCAACACATGATAATTAATGAACAATGTCCACGGATTTAAGAAAGGCGTGCATAGAGTGATTAATATATTTCGTACCATTTTCACTACACAGAATTTTAATGCTCACCCCATACTAATTTTTTATCATTTGTTAAAATTCCTGAAAAATATTACAAACTCCATACTTGAAGTACGATAAGTAAAGCCACATGCAACGAGACTTATCATCAATAAAAGTAATAAACCATCGAAAGCCATCACAAGAGTTAACCGGGGCCGTACCCCATACATCAGAGTAAACCAGCTCAAAACTATTAGAAGAAATATGTTCACTACTATTAAAAGTGTTAGTATCAAGGTGTCTTAGAGACAATCTATTTTATCTGATGAACACCTTGTACTATTTGGTATTTCATGATTTATATATTTAAGCGTACTTTATCTTTATCATATTTAAGTCTCGGCTTTATTTTATAGTCCACAATTGCCCACCATTTTTTATCAACTTCACGAGATCCCACCCGGTACTTGGTATAATTATTGTCCGTTGAAATCTTTTCGTGAAAATAATCACCAATGGCAGCCTTCCACTCCTTTTTGAAGATCTCAAACATTTTTCTTGTGTAGCGCTTTCCGGTTATTGCTTCGATAGGATGAGCAGTCTCCAAAATTGCTTTTGTATTTATAGTTTTGAAATCTTCATCTTCTTCTGCATCCCTCCTAGACTTGATTGCTTTGTCATATTGGATGACAAAGTCATTTAACATTGTGTTAGAGTTGACATATCCATCAAAAAATGAATTGATGCTCTCACTTCGACAACTTGTGGTCATTCCGGCAAAAAATGTATCTTTCAAGTATGCCTTTGCCCAATGATGACGTGAAGTATACATGTTAGCCAACCAACTACCTGCTCTAATATCATATTTATTCTTTAATGCTTCCCACTTTCCTTCAAACTCATCGATCTTTTGACTTTTATACCACTCACGGAAGTCAGCATCAAAATTATCTTTAAATTGTGCGCGGAGTGATTGACTGTGCTCCATAACATGTTTTTTCAGGTGCCATGCGCAAAAACGATGTCGAGCTCCTGGAAATATTTTAGCAATTGATTTTCCCATAGCTTTGTCTTGATCAGTTATAATAGCAACCAGAGACCTATCAAACATACATGTTCGAAATTGTTCAAACAACCAAGTAAAAGTTGCTTCTGTTTCATCTTCTACCAAAGCAGCAGCAAATAAAATTGATTGCCCGTGGTGATTAACACCCACGAAATGGGCAAAAGGAAACTTGAACTTGTTTGTTTTGTATGTCAAATCAAACACAAGGACTTCACCAAATTGAGCATATGCAACTCTTGACCTACCATCCGCCTAGAAGACACTTCTTATTGTACCATCTTCTGCTAGATGCATATCAAAATAAAAATCTCTATCAATAACAGACTTCCTTTGAAAGTGTTTGACAATGCCCTGGCATTCTCGGCCTACATTACTATGTCTCTGGCTTGATATAATAGTGCTAATTTGAATTGGAGTAATATTAAAATCTTCGTTCATAGCGTTAACCACCTTTGAGATTTTTGAAGATGTTAAACCCTCCTGATAAAGCTTAGAAACCAATGACTTAGTAATGCCTGAGTGTCGT